AAATCGGTGAAAGTGTGTAAGGGGAGACGGGAATCTGTTCCCAACTTCCACCTACTACCTCCAGCCCCTTTACACCTCTTTTCCCCGAACGAGGCTTCAGACATATGCTCCGGACATGATCGGTAAGAGCTCCTCCCGATATGGCCGGTAAGAGCTGGGCTCCCTCAAAACCTTTGCTAGGTGGGAGCCCGATTTCTGGAAATAACATGTTGAACCCTTACAAAATGAAAAAAAAGAGAAAAAAAGAAACAAAAAAATGAAAAAAAAAACAGAAGAAAGGGGTTCCAAACATCTTCAATGGAAAAAATAGAGCACCTAAAAAAAGTGAGTTCATGATCTTTCTGTTTTTTAGAGTCTCTTTGTCCACGAATCACTTGTCCTCCGATCACTACTTGGCATGATGCCGACTAAGGACTAGAGTTCTCGCTGAACAAGCTAGGAGGTGTCTTGTGCGTTGGTTGACCTCATAAGCTGCTAAATCATTTAGAACATCCTCTACCGACGATCGGGGTTGCGCGTTGCTGTAGAGGTTTGGAGATTTGCATTGGTTTGAATCATGTTTGCTTGGGGACAAGTAAACGGTTAAGTGTGGGGGAATTTGATGACTACATATCATTTTTTTTTTATCAATTTGGCTTTGATTAGTGTTCTCATTGTCCTATTTTACTCAAGGTTCTGTTATTTTGTCTTATCAATGGGCGCAAGTTTCAAGTAAACCAGAGATCAATTGGCGATTCGGAAGAAGAAACTCGGGCATGACCTTAAGAATAATGGATTTCTACCTTAATTTATGGACAAATACTCATGTAAGATTGTTCTGAAAAGAAAGAGGATGATACTACGAGCGTCTGGGATCAAACGGCGACTGATTCGGAGTCCGGACGAGGGAGAAATGAAGCATCAAAGATAGTGGAACAAGAGTTGAGGAAGAAACACGAGCAGACTTCCCTAAAAACACGGTCGTGTTTAGTCTAGAACTTGCAAGTGTTTTTTATGTCGAGCCTCTCTTGTGAAGACTGTTGAAGGGATGCAAAACACAGGTGGGACTAAACAAGGGCAAGACTAAACATGATCGTGTTCCCGATATTGTTTCTGCCCCCTGCTCGGGTATAAGTCTGATTTCTACGATTTTAGAGAAGGAGAGCTGGGTTTTGGTTCCCAAACACCAAAGGGACAAACCCTAGAGAGAGAGCGGCTTGGGAGCATTCTTGGAGAAATTTTGGAGGATTTCTTCGCCATTAGAGCTCAGGAATCAAGCTTGGGGATGGAGATTAAAGATCTAGATCAGATTTCAACATTGCCTCTATTCTCTATGGAGTAACTTCCCTTCACTTAGGTTTTGAGGAAACCTAGTTCCATGTGCTAGGATCGTTCTTGTAAGAACATTTGGATACTATTATTATTGGTTTTAATCGATTGAGGCATGAATTGTTGAGTTAATTGAATCCTGATAATATTCTCTTGATTTTTGCTTTAACCTATGATAGATAGAATCTGATTAGGTTAAGTGAGTTTCCTTAGTTGATAGTATTGAATTTATTGTGCGAGAGTCAATCAATTCATTGCTTTGTACTGGAATCCATTCCAAGTAGTGGAGATCTGCGTGAATCGCCTTAGTAGTTTATCCCGGTGAAGGCTAGTCGCCTGCCGGGTATTCTTTCTAAGAGGGCTTCGTCAGCTTATGAGATTCCAAGCTATTTTTGGATCTTCCGCAGTCTAATCACCAGTAAAACGAACAAAGGAAACTACAACTTGGACCTAATTGAGGAGCTAGGGGGAATCATACCTAAGTGAGTTCCCAAGCTGTAATTAGTAGTTTAACATTAGTTTAGTTAGTAGAGTAAACATGACCGTGTTTTTAGTAATAGTAACTCTAGTGACACGTGGATTCGATATTTATTAATTGTGCCACTATACTGCAATCCCTTTCATTGGTTACACTTGATCATTGTTAGGACTTGTGTCGTAGCGTGTCACGCATCCATGGATGGGAGCCTACATGCCTCGTCAGGCGTCTGATTGAAACTGATGTTGATCGCCTCCTTTGCGTCAACTGAGGTTGCCCTCAATCGGCGGCTTGCCTCTAGCTTTTCCCTTAGGTTGATCTCCCCGGTAATGGACTCTAGCGTGAGCTGCACTAGCTCGGGCGCCTTGTCTTGATCAAGGTCATATGGCGGAGGTGGCAATTCCGCCATCCTCAACTCTGTCCTTGGGACATAAGTCCGGTACGCTTTCTCATCAAGCTTCTTGAAAAAATCGTTAAGAATCCCTCTATCCACCAAGCCTTGTAATTGCGTCTTCAACCGGTAACGAACGACGGTATGGTGCCCCATTTCCAGGTGGAAGTCACAATATCAGTCCAGGTTTCGCTCATTGGGCGGTCCCCTCATTGGTCCAGGCCACCGCACATGGTAGCCCATTTCCTTATCATATTGGAGCACGTTCTGCATCATATCGTTAAATTTCGCGAAGGTGCCGGCTCCCCGAGATGATGGATGCTCAACGTCTATCCTTCTTGCTGGCGTAGAGTGCGTCGACGTATAAACTGGCCCAGGTGAGGTTGCCGGCCTTTGTGAGGCCTCGCCTTCATCCCCTCTAGCCCGGCGCCTGTTGGCTCTTCTTGCTGACAAGGTCTCTTCCAACGTAATCACTTTCTGCACCCTATGATCTAGGTCCTCCGTAGACATCACCTCCCTCTTTGCCAGTGCCCTGAACAGTTCCTCGTTGGTCGTGCACTCATTCAAGCAACACCCCATCACAAGCGGCTAAACATCTTTCACGGCTATAGCCACTAAGAGCCCTCTTTAATAGAACTCCCTTAAAGCCTCTCACTCCTTTTGCTTGATTTTGAAGAGGGCACTTATGGTCAGAGAGTGGCGCTTCCTGCTTGCAAACTTCGCCAAAAATATCGCTGCACATTGTTCAAAACCCTCTATGCGTTCCTCCTCAATCTGGTGGTATCAATCAAGCACTATGCCTGCGAAAGTCGACGGGAAAAGATTTATTGTTTTAAAAATATATTCCGAGTAAAACTTGTAGTCCTTCAAAAGTTATGTTGAAAAATTGCTTGTTCGGGGTTGCAAACGACGTTTTTTTTTTTGGGATAAAAGTGGGACGGCCGTTTTTGGCTTGTAAGATCTTTAAAAATCATGTGGAATAAATATTTTTAGCTACGATTGGATATCCGAGCGGCAAGTTATGTTCATTTGAAGTTTCAACCTAAATTATAGGCCTTGATAAAAAAATTTCAAAACAAACCACCGGGGGTGGAGGGGGAGCTGCAAGTTAACCGCGGTCACCCCATGCGATTATTACACAATGAAAATCGAAGGGGCTGAAATGAAAATTCGCGGCACCTCCTCTGGACCTTTTGTAAACCGCCATAGGGTCCCACGTTTTTGTGAAAGGGTGGTATTTTTGAAAATTTTAGGGAATGGTTGGTATTTTTGATTTTACCAAACTTTAGACGGTCATAACTTTGTGCTCCACAATTTGGACTACGACTTTTATCATAGCTATTTTTGTAGAATTTGTTTGGATTTGTGAAAATTAAAGCAAAAGTTATACCCAAAACCCCTTATATTCAAGAATATTTATTATTTTGAAAATATATTCCGAGTAAAACTTGTAGTCCTTCAAAAGTTAGGTAGAATAAAAATAAATTTGATGATGTTCGACTTCCGGAGCACAAAGTTATGGCATTTCAAAGTTTGGAAAATTTGAAAAATTGCTTGTTCGGGATTGCAAACGACGTTTTTTTTTGGGATAAAAGTGGGACGGCCGTTTTTGGCTTGTAAGATCTCTAAAAATTATGTGGAATAAAAAAGTTTAGATACGATCGGATACCCGAGCGGCAAGTTATGTTTGTTTGAAGTTTCAGCCTAAATTATAGGCATTGATAAAAAAATTCAAAACAAACCGCAGGGTGTGTGTGGAGGGGGGATGTAAGTTAACCGGGGCCACTCTACGCGATTATTACACAAAATGAAAATCGAAGGGGGTGAAATGAAAATCGCGGCACCCCTTCCTGACCTTTTGTAAACCGCTATAGGGTCCCACATTATTGTGAAAGGGTGGTATTTTTGAAAATTTTAGAGAATGTTTGGTATTTTTGGTTGTATTTGTGTAAAAATTTCATGATAATTTAATTGGACTTTTTTTACTACATGCAACTTACCTAACCATAGATCAAAAGCATATAAGGAAATAATCAATCACAATTTATATATATATATACAAGGAAGATGTAGACCCATCCTCTTAACAGCCTGTTTGGATTGACAAAAAAGTAGGGAATTGGAATTCCATTTCCAATTCCATTTCCATATATTATGTTTGGAATAATAAAAAGGTTGAGAATTGAATTCCAATGGGTCTAAAATATGGGAATTACAATTCCTATCAAAAGTGATAGGAATTGAGAGAATGAAGATGGAATTAGTGGGACCCATTAATACTTTTTATTATTTTGTTGACCCACTTTTATTTTACTCTCTTTCTCTCTCATTCATATTTCATTTCCCAAAATAAAACAAACATATTACATTATTCATTATGGTTAAAAGTGCAATTCATTTCCATAGTTGTAGGAATTATACCAAACACTAGAATTGGAAATGAAATTCTATAAAAATAAAAAATTGAATTCCATTTCCATTTCCATTTCTTCCGGAATTGTATCCAAACAGGCTGTAAGAGTCCAGCCATTGAAAAAGTCCATCCTTGAAATTATCATTACCAAAGAACCATCCCTCTAAAGTCTCTACAGAGACCACGTCTCGAAAGCAACCGCGTGGAGATTGGAAAACCAACAACGCGCCTTAAAAACACGACATAGCCCAATAGAGCCAACCTTTCCACACTGCAGTTTCACCGAAACCCACTTCCTTGCAACTTCTCCCCCTTCAATCCCCATATCTATATATACTCTTCATACAAACAACCAAAGACCCACTTCATCGATCATCATATCATTACATCCAAATCATACATCACCAAACATGGCAGACACGAAGCAAGCATCGGCACCGCTCAACGGAGCCTACTACGGCCCATCCATCCCTCCCCAACAGTCTTACCACTCCCACGGCCGCCGCTCCGGCTGCGGCTGCTGCGGCTGCCTCTTCTCCTGCCTCCTCAAGATCATCGTCACCATCGTCGTCATCCTCGGTGTGGCCGCCCTCGTCTTCTGGCTCGTCGTCCGCCCCAACAAGATCAAGGTCCACCTCACCGACGCCAACCTCACCCAGTTCAACCACACCCCCAACTCCGACAACAACTTGCTGCGCTACAACCTCGCGCTGAACGTCACCGTTCGCAACCCCAACAAGCGCATAGGCATCTACTACGACTCCATCGAGGCTCGGGCCTTCTACCGCGGCCAGCGCTTCGCCTCCGCACCTCTGGGCCCCTTCTACCAGGGCCACAAGAACACGAGCGTGCTGAGCGCGTCCATGCAGGGGCAGAACGTCATCGTTTTGAGGGGCGGCGACCTGGCCGACTTCAACCGGGAGAGCGCTGAGGGGGTCTATACTGTTGATGTCAGGTTCTATCTGAGGATTCGGTTCAAGTTTGGCAAGATTAAGACCGGAAGGATCAAGCCCAGGATTGAGTGCGAGATGAGGCTTCGCCCCAATGGCGGCGGCTTGGTCCCTGATCGTGATAATGAATGCGAGTTTGAGCGGATCTGGTTCAGGTGATTATATTCACATATATATATATACATAGATGAGATTTATGGCAGCCTCTTTCTGTTTTGAATATCTTTTCTTTCATTTTTTCCGCGGATGTGGAGGGATATACTATACACATACAGATATTTTATGTTCATGTTCATGTGATCGATTCACCATTTACTTCATTGTGGTTAACTTTTCTCTAAGTTAATTTTGCTCCCAGCTGCCTCTGTATCTATGGGTGCCGTATGTTTGTTTATAAATAAATAAAATGAATTTGTGAGTTTTGATTTTTATTGTCGTTTTCAATTGTCCGGTTGATATACGATGTTGAATTTTGAATAAACAAAATTTAGATGACGGGGTTGTATTGCCATCTGACTATTCAAACACTAGTCGCCGTAACTGTTTTGACTTCTGATTACTAATTCAACAAAAGAGGTGAGGACTGTGTCGGCTTTTGATTGATGGTTGAGTAGTTGTTATTAAGTCATTGGATAAATAAAAAAATGTAATCGGAGATTCGGTGGAGTATCCCAATCGATTACATTGTCATCCTCCAACCGATGACAAACTAATTCTCTTAACTTATACTATAGGTTAGTTGGGTCCAGATAGTATAACAACACCAGAGGTGTTGTTAGGTGACATTAAGGATAATAAGGTCAAATAAAAATAAATTAACAAAATAAAATAAAATTTAATAATCTCCCATCTGAAAACTCTCCTCTCGCTCCCGGTCTCACCTCATCGTTTCAAGATGGTCTCCGTCGTCGTCCACCGCAGACCTAGATTCTATGGTTTGATCGACATTTATCGAGGCCGCCAATGCTATGTCGTCTCATATCACGCAACCCTCCTGCTCCATCTTCTCTAAACCGCTAATAGAGATTTTGAAGATGGAACGAGATCTGAACTCTCATATCTGAGTTGCAATGTGTTTGGCGGCGACAATGGATGCAACGACGGAGAAGAAGGTTTATCAGTTGAGGAAGCAGTTGTCGAGGCTTTGTAAGCTAGTGAAGGGAGGATGATCCAAAGCTAAAGTCGCATTGTTGAGTGTGAATGCAAATGTAGGTGTTGGACCCGCAGCCAGTAAATTTCAAGACTTTGATCGAGAATACAATTCCATCATACTTCGGCCGGGAGATTCATGCCAAAATTAGATTGGTAAAGGAAAGTCATCTTTTGTCAAGAAGAATCTGGTTGTGAAGTACGCGATGTCAGAGTAGTCAACAAAAAGCAAAATACCACATTGGTGGGGAAGGAAAGCGTAAGTGGTTTATATCATAACTACCTACTTTATTTTATTGAATAAAGTAATAAGTTGGTTTTGGAAAAAGTGTGCAATTTAATTTGACATATAAAATGACACTACGCGTTTGGATTTGATATTTTGGCTAATTAATTTCAAAATTATTTTATGATTAATTAATTTTGGAGAATTAAATGATTTTTGTGAAACGCGCAATCCTTCGGAAGGAAATTGCCGTTTTCACAATAAAAGACTTCTGTAGTCAGACTTCTTCTCCCACATTCATTTTCTTCTTCCCGTTTTCCTTTTCAAGACACAAACCCAGAAGTCAGAAAGATTGTTGCTTTCGAACTTCAATTGGAGAGACTCCTGGGGGTGATTTCCTCAATCCTACCAGCAATTAGTAGTGGGGGCAAATAACACTCTACGGAGAGTGATCTATCACGCAGTCAACCAGAAGAAGAAGAAGAAGCCGACCCCCTATGTCTACTAATAATGGCTTCAATTGTGTGCAATTGGGACATATTTTTTGCTTTTGTCCTAATCCAAAGGGGCACCAGAACGAAGGGGCTGCAAGTGCAAATGTGATTAAGAAAGTTGAGCTTAGTGAGATTGTTGCAATGATTTCTTATTTACATGTGGGTATTGATGCAATCGGAAACTCTCAAAGACTCGCAGACGCTCTTCTATGGAAAAACAAACAAACTTGCAAGCACAAAGCTTGAAAGATACTCTGGAATCCACTGAGAATAATACCCTTAGGATTTATTGATCAAAATCAAAAGTCACCCTCTTCCTACGCAACATCAAGCCTTAAATATCCAATGTTCAACTATATATCCTTAACCGATTATCTATACAAAAGTATCAATATGCTTTTCATGTCTATATAACACATTTTAAAACAAATGTTGTCAGTCCCAAATTCATTACAAGACTACCAGTATCAACCACCAGCCCACATAACAACCTGGAATCTATTAGAACAACAACCACTACACAAAATATCAATACTACCACTACAACTGGTACTAGTGGGACTATTCTAATAAACTACTACTAATAAACTACGACTAGAACTAGTACCAGTGGCTGAACTACCACTAAAACCGCTACAAAAATATTAGTGCTACCACTAATAAACTATCACCACAACTTGTTCTAGTGGTACCATTCTAACAAACTACCACTATTGAACTACCAGTAGAATTGGTCCAGTGGCAGAACTACCACTAGAACTCTGGGTTGCATCTTTTGCTTTTAACGATGCAGTCAGAAAATAAATGCTTATAATCTACGTACCCTCACCTGCAATGGTTTTCACAACCGCAAAAAGGGACGGTGGCGGAAGGATGTTCGGCTATGTTCTGAAACACAAAATAACTTGCATATTTAAGACTTCGATCAAAGCACGACAACAAAAAAAAGTTGAAGAAGGGGAATGAGTAGAGAGCAATGGCAGAAACGATGACTCCGGGAGGGAAGACAAATGGTTGTCAAGAAGAATGAATGGTCATGTCGAGGGTCGACAGACAAGAAGAAGGGAATGCAGAATTTTACTTGAATTGGCCCTCCACCAAACCATCGGATTTTCGAACTAAGCACTGTAGCGGAGGAGATGATGGACGGAACAAAAGAAACGCCGACAATACTGATTAGAGACGGTGGAAGGAAAAGGTTTTATCATGGGCCACAACTCAGTGGGCCTCGCCGTCCCAGCCGAGCCAGCCCAATGTGCACTTTATCTGTAATTAGGGAATTTCAGCATAGTAGGATTTAGATTCTGTTTGTTGAGTCAATTTTGGAGTCTTTGTTAAAGTGGTATTCAAGGTTGTTAGGAATTAATCACTTCCACCATAAGTGGAACGTGCAGATGGGAGTAGAAGGTAGTAGTTGCTGTTTCGTAGGGAATTAGTTATTGTGCACAGGTTTATATGCTTTAGATGGAAATGAAAGAAGGGAAGCAATATTTCAGAAATAGAACCTCTGGTTATTCTCGCCAAGAAAGGAGAAACCTGGTCTAATCCCCCCAAGAAAAGGGAGCTATCCAATCCAACACGTATCATTTTGGGAGACAATGGAGGGAAATGGTTTTGGGTGAGCAGAATTTTCGGGGACACGAACAGCAGTTTCCGGGGGAAGGTGCTGATTTATCTCCACAACCAAGTATTTTCATTTTCAAAACCAGGTTCACGATAGGGCACAAGCACGTGAGATAATCCAGCGTGACTCTTTCTTTTTTGCCCCTGCCCACTATAGACCGTAGGATGGAGAGGAAGGGGGACGGACGGCTGGAAAGGGGTAAGAAAATCTCATAACCTCCTTAAGGGTTGTGACGCTATCCAACCCGTTGTGATTACACAAGTAGACAGTTAATAATTTTCTTATCCATTAACCATTAAACAAAATAAACTAATTAAAAACTTAAGTACTAAGAAATTTTCGATTATCAGTTAATCACTAACTATCCTTAACAGTTCTGGTTGAAAGCAATATCCAACTAATGAATCACTAACCAACCTTAGCAGTTCTGGTTGAAAGCAATATCCAACTAATGATCCTAATGCTTTGCTAGCTAGCTAGCTTGCTCTTTTATGAGCGTTATCATCCCGTCGTGCACGTTATCTATAAAATACCATAAGGCAATGTCAAAAAACAGCATTTGCCACGTCAGCCGCTGCTGAAACGGTCGTACAGTTCGAATGGCCTTTATGGACATTTCCCATCCATCTCTTTCTCGCTCGCTGTCTTCCCATATTCTGCGATTTCTTTTTCTTTTTTTCTGGAGAAACCAGAAAAAGCGATTTCTCTCTCACCTCTATGAATACTCTCTCGCCGCCTCTGTTCAGCTCACAACCACTCCGACGTTCCTCTTTGACACACCGAATCTGAATTAAAAATTCTCCACAGTAGGCCTCTATGTTCTTCCTCAATCTTCGTTGTGTTTGCTTTCAAATTTGGTGTGGCTTGCAATCCCCCAGAAAAAATCCCAACTCCTCTTTGTCTCGCCGTCTTCCTTTAGCCGCCTCTACTAACAACAGGTCAGAATTCCTTTTGCTACACTGCATCTGAAATTGAAATCTCCCACAGTAGGCCTCTCAGTTCTTCCTCGATCGTAGTTGTGTTTGTAGCCATCTGCTCTGTCTTGCCCACAGAAAATGTCTTGGCTCCTCTTTGCCTCGCCGTTTGTGCAATGTGCCCTCTTCTTTTGCGTTTTCAATGGAAAATCTATCCAGTAGCTAATTAATTGGTTCCAATCATTCATTGAGAAATCAAAATCATATTCGGTCAATACAATCTAGAAGTTGGGTGAGATATCTGGGAGAAGAAAAAACTGGAATTGTTGGGAAGAGGAAGAACCCAGAATGTTGAAAGAGGGAGGAGATTGAAGAAGAAGAAGTCTCTGGAGAAGGAAGAAAGAAAGAAAGAAAATCTTTATTTAGATTTTTTCTTGGTTATATCGTGATAGGAAAGAAGTCTTTGGGTTTGTGACGTGTTGTAAGTGGTGGAGTGAGAAACAAAAGGATTGGAGAAGTAATAGGAAAGTTAGAATAGTGTGAACTTGAGAGAGTGGCTATGGTGTGGTGTGGTTTATTGTAGTGAATGTGAGCTTAAGTTGTTAATTTACAAGTTGATTTGCAAAGTTTGTTAGAATTATATTTTCAGTCATCACACTTTGTAAGTACTATTTCAAAGCATACCTCATCTAGTAAAACTCTACATCATTTGTGCTTAGCCTTCCGACGATTTCATATTGCATCAATTCCCT